TGGGATGACCACACGACAGCGTGAAATTGAACAACGCGTCGGCATAGCACACCAGCGTGTATTTGGTTTGGATGTTGTTGATGAAGATGAGGCAGGGCGACAAGACGGAGTACAAGAGCACAATCACAGCGTACGACACTACCTTGGTTGGGTCGACCATCGTGCTCAGCATTTCGTACACTTGTCTACCTTGGCAAAGGATCACGATAAAGTTGAACACGATGAACACGTGGTCAAACCAGTCGGTAGCAGCGCTCTTGGAGAGCCGACGCACAATGATTCTGGATTGCGTTTTGGAACCGAGTCTGCGTACTGTCACAGCTGGAGGCGGGGGCTGCAGAGGCATCGACAGAGAGGTGGCATCTGGCTTTCGATGACACAGTTTGGGGCCCACGAGCGCACCAACGTGCATGAGCGAAATCATGGTGTACCCCGTTGCTGTGACTTTAGCCTGGTACAACTTTGCAGTGACGATAGTAGGTCCGGCTGAAAACATCATGAGGAGCACCCACACGACGAGGTACACCGTGGTAGCGACATGCAATGAGCCAACGACGACGCGCAACGCTAAGTTCCGCTTGTCGTGGATAACCTTTGGAACCACGACTGCGGCCGCTTCAGACACCACCCTACAGTTTGTCATCGTTGCGCGCAGTTGTTCGAGTTGTATTTTGAGAACTCCAAGTAGTTAAGTATACAAGTCAACGCCCAGTGGCGTTTCAACGGACGATTCGCGTAGTCGGTTTCAAATAAAAACGATCTGACCATGTAGGTCGCATTGTGGTCGATGTGGTTGTCGTTGGCGGCGCCAACAGCGCGTGTAACTTATACACCACGAGCTTGACGGTGCACATAACTTACAACTCTGGAGTACTAAGTATTGACTTATACACCAAGAACTCTAGGTATCCAACTTAGCGGTACAATCAAACACTTTGGACGTTGGTACTAACAGTGGTCGAGAGCATCCACGACGCTTTTTGACTTGATTTGTTACCAATTGTCAAAAAATTGACGAAATTTGATAGGGATATGTAGTAGATTTTGATCAGGAATCCGAATATTCCTCTATTATCCTATGAATCGCATTATTTGTTGAGTTATTGTTCGAAAACACTTGATTTTGACCTTAAAAACATTGTGGCATTCTATAAACCGTATAAAAAAATGTTTGTATGCCAAATCTGGTTTGGCGAGGTTTATCCTGTGTCAAATCTTCATATTTTGATGGTGATACAGTACCGTATAGGTAACAATAACTACCCGGGCTTAATAACTACTTTTGGGCCTTCGCGGACACAATAACTACCCTCAGCGCCGCAGGCGGGCTAAATTTCACTACCCTGGGCAATATGGTTAACTTAATGAGTCCATGAGCAAGTTGCTTATCGTTAATGCCTCGGAAGAATTTTGGAATGCCTGACATTTGTGTACTTCCAAGTACAAATAAAAATATGAAAAATGTCGCGAAATGGTGGACTTGAACTCGGGACTTCAGGTCACGAATCGGGCGCTCCACCACTTGAGCTACAGATACCGTCACGCGACACCTGAAAAGAAGGGATATCCGGATGAAGAGGACCCGCGGTTCGGTTAATTACCGGATCGTGAAAACACTGTAAAACAACCAACACCCCCCCCCCCCCGAGTGAGCCCAATCAGCCGGATAACGCGAGAAGGCAATATTAAGTTAGGAATAATATCCGGTTAAAATTCCAATAAACCTCCATTGACAATGAGCTACAGATGCCTTCCTATACATGCGTGGGGCTCAAAAGGGGGGTGCCTATGGTTTGACCAAGGGGTTGGTGCTCAAACGTGATAACTACGTGCGGTTCATTGATGCAGCTCTAAAGGAATCGCCTCCACGATCGATTGTCTATATTGACGAGTCGTATATGTACCATCACTACTCCAGGCACAACGACAGCTTATACCACCCCGACGACAAGGAGACCACACCATCAAAAGCAAAGCACAAAGGGCGGTGTCTGTGCTTCGTCGCCGGAATCATGTCCGATGGGGACAAGTTCCAACCCAAGGACTACCACAGCATGTTCACGCATGCTTTCTTTGTTGACTGGTTCGGCGGCCTATTGGAAGAGCTGGAGAATCTCCAGAAATATGGTGTTATCATAGCGATGGACAATGCAAAATACCATCAAGGAAAGCCATGAAGAAGGCGGACATGTTGTCGGCGTGTGAAACTTATGGAATCAACGTGAACCAGCGATTAACCAGACCTGTTGTGTGGGCAGTGCTCAAGGACCACGTCGATCGTGCTGTCAAGTCGGAGGTCGAGTCCATGGCCATGGAGCGCGGCCACCTGGTTGCTTGGACGCCACCGTATCGCTCCGACCTACAGCCTATCGAAATGGTGTGGTCAGACGTGAAAGGCAAAGTCGGAAGACAGTACACGGTGACAACATCGTTCGAGGACGTCAGGGTGCGGTTGGATGCAGCGTTTGCTTCGCTGCCAAGCAAGACAATCTACAACTACATCGGTCCCACAGAGAGGAAAGTAGCAGCCATGAGTCTATACCTCGAGACTCTTGACGAAGCGAACGATGAGCTAGGCCAAGGTTCATCAGACGACGAAAACTCCGTTGACATGGCCAGTGAGGCCAGTTCAGATGATGACGAGTGATCAGATTACTCGTGCCAAACATACCATTGCTAAAACTTGATACCCTCTGCTAATCCTTAAAATGTATATCAAATTGTTACAGGTGTGTGACACAATTATCTCATATCTTATCTTGTTACAACCTATAACTTTCTTGAATGAAATAAAAAGCGTCGTGGATGCTCTCGACCACTGTAAGTATCATGCAGCACGATGGACACTTCAAGGAAGTAAAGTACTTTGGTGTGTCGACGAATTGTGTTGAATGCCCTTGGCCAAACGTTGAGCGTTGGCTACCCATCTTCATAGCTTGATAGCGAGCAATGGGTACTATACCAGTGCATATTTCGTCAACTGTGGAAATAAAAAAAGTGCTTCCATCCTGCATGCAGAGTCTTGACGATAGGCTAATACTTTCGTCCTTTCGTCCATAATACTTCGGCATCTTTAATCCTTCAACTCTAAATTCTGTTTGTCGTGTTGCTCGTTCGATGTGTTGACTGGCCATTCGCTCGCTCGCTTCCACTTGAGCGGCTTGGGTACGAGTAAGCATTTCCAACAGCTGTACATGTCGCTGAAAGGATTCTGCCATTGTGCGCAAAACTTCATCCATCTTGTTATTCTGGTGAAATTGAATTACTCTACTTCAAACTTCGATCTACTCTCGCTTCAGCCTTGATCTCACGGGCCTTTGGTACACTTGGATCTTGCGGTCGAGGACTCCTTCAATCAGTTCTTCGATTTGGTCGTTCCGGTGGATCACTAATTCTGTGATCTCTTGGATAGCGTTGCGGGCGTCGGAGTTCTTCGCTTCTGGGATCTGGGCACGCAACTTGTTGATAACCACGCGTTGGTGACGGGTTAACACGCAAAAGTCTTGGCGTAGCTTAACCGGCAGATCCGGATAGTCGAATAGTTCGCCGATGTCTTTTGTGGCCGCGAGTTGGGGTTTGCGGGTCTTACTACGGGGCATACACTAGCAGATCACTCAGAACGTGTATGGATTTTGTTGTTGAGACTATCACCAGGTAACGGGTAGCAAAGACCACGTTTTCAAAACCTTTGGCGATGTGTAGTCTCTGCAACGACCACAACAACCGTCTAAGAAGACTGGCTGGGTACAGCGGATTGACGGAGCTTGGGCCGAGGGAACCAGGGAGTGCTACAAATTCTAGCACTGCGGGAGGAAGCGTGTGTAGTTGAGGGCAAAATGCACAATGAATTAACTGAGGATCTACTAAGATCTCCTTAGTCCTCATCCCTATGAATCTTCTTAGTCTACGTCACTACTTCTACACTAATATGAACTTTTGTATACAATGGATGTGGGTGCGGTTGAGACATTGGGGAACTTCACTAGGCTAGCGATTCTAAGCCATACTTGCCCTTGAGACACATTCCCAGGCAAGCATTAGCTAGGGTGCGTCATGAGCCAGGTACTTAGAAGCTGGGTGCGGGCAAGATGGTGGCAAGGCGTTACCCCCACCTGTCACATCGCTACATACTTGGCTATCTCCATAACTTCCTGGTTTAGTCTTCAAGCATGCGAATCAATGGAGCCAGGTTGTTTGGTTTCTCTTTATGTTCTTATCCTCGGCGCATGAATCACAAGACTACGGGGCGTGGTGAGGGTGGCTATTAGTCCACCAAACTTGAAGCGCTTCCACTTGGCTGGACGTGGGGAGATGCGCGACGTCGTCGTGCTAGTCCAAGCATGTCGCGTCGTCCGTCGTGTCTTCCGCTCGACGGCGGCACACGTTCGCAGGCAAGGCGTCGATGGATGCCACGTCCGATAACGCTGCCATGACCACGAGCAGCTCGTCGTCTTTGGCTGGTCCGTACTGCGCCGTCCACGGGGATGTTCCATCGACGTAGGACGCGCCAAACTTTGAAAATGCATACGGCAACTGGCTCAGCTCGTACGCAAGCCACACTTTTTCCTTGGCGCCTCTAGAATACACGTGTTGGAATCGGGTGGGCACTAGTGTAGATGATGTAGATGATGCCCTGTCGACATTTCAAATGTGCTGGGTGTTTTTTGAATATATTTGTATTTTGGGCAACATTGACAAAAATAATTCAAATTTATTGACCATATTTGTGGCGAATTTCTAGGACAAGTCCTTCGAAGTACTTCTTTCCTATCGCCCCAGAAGCAAAATGCCAACTGCGCCAGAGGTATTCGTCTAAAAACGCAGGAATGCGCTCTTTGAGCACACCACGCATAGCCTTAATGTACTGCTTAATACGCACCTCCCAAACGCCTTCAATTTGCTGGGTGTGGGCGCCATTTCTTGGGTTTTCCGAATGGTTAACCCACTAGTGGGTGTAACGCATTCCGGCGAGCAAGTGGTTGTTGGCCAATGTGTGCTGCTCGTTGGTTGAAACGTACGATCCGACTTTGTCGGAGATGATGTGGGTCCCAGGACGAATGTGCTTTTTGATCAGCGCCAACAGGTCGGCTTGGTCCGATCGCCGAACGTCACAACACCAAACCACTGCTTCGTGGAACGGTCTACACCGCCAAAGAGCCAGTAATCTTCGTGGCGGGTGCCGCGGTTGTACTTCGATTTTTTCTTCATCGAGGTTTCGTCAATTTCAACTACACGGCCGACACCACCAATCTAACAAATAGTTTTAAATAATCCACATATATATAATATATATATACATATACTATTAAATAATTCACATATATATACATATACTATTAGATATAATATACACATATATGTGTATATAATACACATACACTATTAAATAATTCTCAAATATATATACGTATACTATTAGATATAATATATACATACATATGTATGTATCCCCTTACTATAAATATTGCCTAATATATATATCAAATATATATGTGTTAATACTTATAGCAAATATATGTATTTATATATATGTTTGTTAATATTTATAGCACAGATAGATATAAACACAAACAAATGTATTGAATACTAGTAATTCGCTTGTACTAGTTAGCAAAATAAATACCATTAATAGTACAAAACTGTGTCATTAACCGGATTGATTTGAAATGATCCGGTTATCTAAGTGGAAATTCTCTGCCTTGTCAGAATTTCACACAAGGAAATTATTTCGATGGAAATACTTGTGAGCTCATCACAAGGAAATCCCGTTTGCAGAAGTTCTATAATGCATCGATAAATAAAACGGAGTTCTAACTCTGTTTTGCAAATGTTGCAAGGAGTTTCAGATGGGATACTTCCAGATCTCTGATTGGAAAACGGATGGGTGCGTTGCGTTCCTATTGGTCAGACAAATCAATGAGTATTTTTTCTCGAATTATATATTCGGATTTCGCTGTGAACCACAAGTTGCCGCCCACGCTTCTTCGGTGTAGACTCGCCTTACACATCTGGCACCTTCGCCTTGTTCTTCGCTCCCTTCGGACGTCCTCGCTTCTTCGCAGTTGGCGGCACGTCTTGCGCTGATGATGGCACCTTATGCACAGCCCATAGTTCTTGACCTTCTTCCGCTTCTGGCCACCCGTTCTTCGCGGCTTCTTCCACGATGTACATATGATAGACCTTGGACAAATGCATGTTGCACTGTCGGAGGGTTGGACTGTCGTCGGAGCCGCACACTGAGCACGTTTCCATGACATCACAAATTTCAAAATGGCCACCATAAAAAGTTCTCGACCAATAGGGTGCCGTTCAGAGTAAAACCCAGAAATGACGACAAACTTGTTATTCCATCGCTTCTTTCAACTTGATTGCGTGATCACAACGGCTGCAAAGTTAAAGATTTGGGCATAGCCTCCGGCCGACTTCAAATAATGCGTCGCGAGTGCACACGGAGTCGGTGGTGGCGTGGGAGTCGGGATGGCCGGGTAGTCGCGACGGCGCCTCAAGAAGTTGGGCGGCGGGTGACTTGGGACGGCGGCTCATGGAGTCGCGCGGCGAGGGAGTCGGGACGGCGGCTGCTCACAAGAACCTGTAGAATATATAAGACATCGTACACACTGCACACTGCAGACATCATATACCTTGGCGTCAACGGTGCAAAGCGGCAGATCGGAACCACTTGCTCGGCTGCTGGCAAATTCGAAAGTGAGAGAACTTCCTTGAACAAAATTTAAAATTCAAACTTTGAGCCAATCAGCGAGAAGGGAGTCTGTTGCACTCTACTGCTTAAGGTAATACATAACTGTTTTCATTGGCTGAACCATCCATCTGTTCCATTACAGACGTTGACAAATTTTTATAGTTCTCTGCGGGAAGAGAAATATTCGCCTTTTCCTGATTGGCTCCTGCCACCCTGCGAATCACAGAACCCTACACTAGTTGAAGCAAATATAATGACTTTTGGCATTTTTCATTTTATTATTTGCTCTGCCAACCTGCGATTAGCAGGTTGGCAAAGTCAAGTATACTTAAGAATACACTTGACTAAATTATTGGACTCTCCCCACACGTCCGGGTTAACCAGAAAAAGCAAGGTGAAACAGCCATTTTTGTATGCTGCGCAAGGCGAACCACCTTGCGAATTCCATAAATAATTCTGAAATTGGTTAGTTTCAATTAAATCTATCTTCAAGTTTGTATTCGTGATTTATATTTTCATGTGTCTAGCCAGCACTACCGTATACCTTATGGATCAGTCAGTACCCATGATTTTGCTTTATCGAGTTGTACCCAAATTGCTGTATGGTGTCAATAATGTACGATTTGATGGTACCTTGGAAGGCTGTACCCAAGTCGCTTTATATTGGTAAAAAATGTACAATTATCTCGTTCTAGCCAATTAAACAAGTCGAAGTAGTAGAAGTAACCAATCCAAATGCATTGGAAAGAAATCAGACCACCTTATTGGGTTGTATCCATTTCGATTAGATTTTACTGACATTTTCGGGGGTACAGATCCATAAGGTAAACTGCCTTGCGAATTCAAAATTGATCAAATTTGTCCAATCAGATGCCGTGAAATCACGAAAATCGCCTACGTAGGTTTATCATGCATAGAAGTACGCCCAGTGCGATACTTTCTACACTAATCGGGGAGTATGGTGGCGGTTGATGTAAGACATCACCACCGCCGTCGTGGGCGCACTCCGGTTCGTCCAATGGGGAGCAGGCCAAGGCCACCCACGAAATCTGCCACTATGACAAACGTGGCCATTCCTCTCTTCGACCGTCCAGTCCGTGTCGGTGCTGTACACCGTCCCTATCGTGTGCTCATGCGGTTGCGCCACCGCGTTGGCGACCCAACCGAGTGCACAACATAATGTTAGGTGCGGGGGAAATACCACATTGGAAATAGTCGGGATGAACTCATCAGTGACACAATTCTCCGGAGCATCACACTTAAAAAAAAATTCAAGCGTCCAAGTCAACATTGTGACGTCTCTGCCAGTATTATAACCAATCGAATGTAAGAAACAAGGTGTGATAGACTCTTATTGGATATTAAAAGGAAGCAAGGTAGCTCAACTGAAAAGTCGAGACGAGGCGACGACGTCAACTGTAAGTCTCACTCATACAAGTGTCGTCAGGATTATGCATGCAGGGTGAACGCACTTTTGTGATTTCCACAGTTGACGAAATATGGACTGGTATAGTACCCATCGCTCGCTATTAAGCTATAAATATGGGTAGCCAACGCTCAGCGTTTGGGCATGGGCATACCAAAGTATTTTACTCGCTTTAAGCGTCCATCGTGCTCAGGATACTTACTACCATCGTCCAACGTGTTTGATTGTACAGTACTCCCCCGCAATAGTGAACCCTTCTGGCGCATACGTTTTAAAGGTATCACAGGAAGACAGTTATTAAAATAAAGGGTAGGTACCTTACACCACCTGATTGGCTTCTGATGCAACAATGGATATGATTCAGGAGGGGGTTGATACCCTGGCAAAAGACAAAACGCAGGCCAAGGACAACGTACACTTGAGTTCCATTAAAGGTTACGCATATTTTCAATCAATTCGTACACGATGGAGCCAACCATTCGAAAAATTCATATCAAGGAGCTGGCTGGGCTCGTCGTGGTCGCAAGCATCTCGTCACGGATTTGCATAGCTTTGACACGGATGGATGGTCGGCCCACTTACAATGGGGACGCTCCATTCCTCGCATTTCTGAATACATTTAATTAGTTTGGCTTCTAGCTTTGGTGTGCGGGGTTGCTGCTTGGATTTATGTGTCGGGTGTATGCCCTCGACGTCCACCATGGAGTTGAGCCACGCTGGCATGGTTGACTTAACGCATTGGCGCAACTCAATCGCTTTGACATGCAGTATTCCACTTGAGCCTTCTTCTGCTCAATTGTCAGCCGGATCGTCGACGCTGGTGACGGCATTTGTTCGTCAGATGGTTTGTGTCTGTTTTGAATTTTGAAACGCCTCTACAATTTTATTGATGATTACCTCAAAAATGTTATTAGGTTTTGTGGGATATAATGTTTTAATGGGTTCACTATTGCGGGGGAGTACTGTACCGGTAAGTATAAGTCAAAGTAAGTTATGTGCAGAGGTTGGGAAAGAGTTATTTTTATTGGAATATATTCATTTAAAACTATAAAATAAATTATTCTGAAATCCATTCAAAAGAATAAATAATTCGTTTGCAATTCGAGAGAGAATAAGTATTGACCTGGACCTCTACAAAAAAATAAGTATTGAGTTTTGGCTAACCTCCAGTCAATTCAAAGTGCTGTAAACAAAGACCAATCATTTCCTGAGTTTTGGCTAACCTCCAGTCAATTCAAAGTGCTGTAAACAAAGACCAATCATTTCCGTGCAAATCGAATGCAACCACAGCCATTAACTTCACACATAGTTACAATCAAACCAAACAAACACAATTCATTTTGATAACCAACGACAACAACCAACCATCGCCCCTTCGTGGAAAACAACTCGCCAAGCTGTACTTTGCGTACCTCACCTGAATCGACGCTTTGGCTTTGTAAATGTGGGAAGTGCCGCACACAAAACGGCACTGAGTACATGAATTTGACGCCGCACATTGAGCGCGAACACCCCGGGTACCTGAACTATGACGCCACAGCCCCGATTTCGGAGCAGAATCCGTTCATGCCCCTGTTCTCACGCAGTGTGTGGAACGTGTACGGCTGGCTGATCTGTATTACGTCGTCGCTGTTGCCCTTCAATTTTTGTGAAAACGACATGGCTCGCCGCTACTCGAACCTTGGCCCCATCAGCAACAAGACGCTAATGAAATGGATGCACCAAGTGTGTCGTTGGTTGGAAGCGAAGCTAAAGAAGACCCTTCCCGAGTCGTTTGCGTGTGTATTTGATGCCTGGGCAAGTGGGTCGACGCATTATGTGGCGGTCTTTGCGTCGTTCCCAAGTGATTCGTTCGTGGATACGAGAAGGTGTTGCTCGCATTGTCGCCTATGAACGACGAAGATTCATTGAGTGCTGCAGCCTTCCTGGAATTTTTTGACTTTGTCCTCGATGTGTACGGCAAACGGCGCCGAAATGTGTTGGCCCTTATCGGCGACAATTGCGCCACGAGCCGTGCCTTTACTCGCTTGGCTGGCATCACTATGGTGGGTTGTGCGTCTCATCGGTTCAACTTGTTCGTCGGTGATTTGCTAGCCGACTTTATGAGGACCTGCTGTGTGCTGTACATGCCATCATGAAGAAGCTGAAAATTTAATTTGCTAGCCGACTTTATGAGGACCTGCTGTGTGCTGTACATGCCATCATGAAGAAGCTGAAAATTTAAAACAATGTTAATTGTAATTTTGTATGGAAATGCTCGAAAAAATAAATCTTTTTTATACCCAATCACTGAGAAGAAATAGTTATTGAGCCAATCAGCGCATGGCAAAAAAGCGTGTGATTCTCTACAAACGTATACTTGCTAGGGTTTGGGTTTTCTGAGGATTATGGCAACTTCATTGGATGAAAACTAGGTGCATTGATTCTCTGTGGGTTTTGAAGAATTATTCAATAAATTATTCACCCCACTACTCTCGCCGAATAAGTTATTTACCGCAGGTATAGAATGAATAAGTAATTCTCTTCGTGGGTTGAAAAAAATAAGTTTCATTATTCATTTTCGACAGGAATAAGTAATAAATACTAGTAGTATTTTCCCAACCTCTGGTTATGTGCACTGTAAAGTTCGTGGTGTATAAGTTACATGTCAAGCGGGTCGACGCCAGCGCCTACGACAACCACAGCGACCACAATGCGACCTGCATGGTCGGATCGGTTTCATTTGAAACCGACTACGTGAATCGTTCGTTGAAACGACTTGGCGTTGACATGTATACTTAACTGCCTGGAGGTCTCAAAATACAACTCGAACAACTGCGCTCAACGATGCCAAACTGTAGAGTGGTGTCTGAAGCGGCTGCAGTCGTGGTTCCAAAGGTTACCCACGACAGGCGAAACTTAGCATTGCGCGTCATCGTTAGCTCGTTGCACGTCGCTACCACGGTGTACCTCGTCGTGTGGGTGCTCCTCATGCTGTTTTCAACCGGACCTAGTGTCGTCACTGCAAAGTTGTACCAGCCTAAAGTCACTGCTGCGGGGTACACCATGATTTCGCTCATGCACGTTGGTGCGCTCGTGGGCCCCAAATTGTGTCATCGAAAGTCAGCTGCCACCTCACTGTCGAAGCCTCCGCAGCCCCCGCCTCCAGCTGTGACAGTGCGCAGACTCAGTTCCAAAACGCAATCCAGAATCATTGTGCGTCGGCTCTCCAAGCGCGCCGCTACCGACTGGTTTGACCACATGTTTATCGTGTTCAACTTCATCGTGATCCTTTGCCAAGGTAGACAAGTGTACGAAATGCTGAGCACGATGGTCGACCCAACCAAGGTAGTGTCGTACGCTGTGATTGTGCTCTT